ACGGAAACACTGATGCAGTCATTCATTATATCATATGATGGCTAAATTAAATAAAGATAATAAAGAAAGGTTATGGCTGTTTTGAAAAGGTGGTTTTAGTCCTTTAATATTAGCGCCAGGGTAAGGGAATCTGATATTATATCCTGAACAGAATTTATAATTCATTACTGGGGCTCTGGCCACACCCGGAAGCTAATCTAGAATTTCACACATTTAATGAACTTCATACTTGAAATATGTGGTCTGTAAAATCTGATTTACACTGTTGTTAAAATAGCTGGTGTTTGAAAGAGAATATATTTTAAAGTAAATTTGTGCACAAAGTTTGTTGTGTTTTTTATTTTCTAAAAGCCCTAAACCTGGTCATTAATTTACCCCAACACATATAAACCCTTCCCTACAGTGTAATTTCTATTGCAGTATTTCTTTCAGCACCTCAGATTTACTCACAAAGTTTCTTTAGGAGTAACTGCATTCAGTTATACAAAGGGGCAGAGAGCCCCACCATGGAACCATAGGCACTTCAGGCTCTAAGTTGACTTGACAAGTCAGTTCATGATGGAGTCCAGGGTCTATAATTAGTCCTTACCTGCCACCACCATAAAAGCCCTGCATTAGGTCAGTCCTTGCTTGGGCCATACCCTGCAATCCCGGCTCATTCAAGCGTGTCAGCTTTTTATTGGATGTTAACACCTGATATTTCCTCCAGGCTCTGGTTTTAGTGAAGGCTTTGTGGCATTATGTTCTTCAGGGCTGGAATGGCAACAGGAGCTGAAAGAGAGAAGAGTGGGAGCCGTGTAAATCACTGCCCAGCCCGGAATCCTGACGGTGAAAGATCACAAAGACACCTCGGCTGCTGGAGGAAGTGGTTGTCATTCACAGGTGAAATACAAGAGGTTTCTTTCTACTGAAGGCAATTTGTGGTGAACATGGCACCTGTAAGAATTAGTTCCACACTTCAGTAATGAGGACTCGCAAGAATTCAACTCGGATTTGAAAAAAACCCAATGGTTGTGTGAGGGGGTGAGTGAGTGTGACCTGTTCATTTACAGCAGCCATGGGTCTTCCACTGAGATACCAACACAATGCTTAATGTTCCATCTGATCAGGGAAAGATTTTCTCCTTATGGGTTAGTGTTGAAAATAAAGATTTCACTTAGATAATTTGTTTTCTGGATTGTTTCTAGGAAAGATCAGATATCAAAATCTGATCAGCAGGAGGCTTGAGACTTCCTAGAGGCAAAACTGGGTAGCTTCAAATCAAACTTTAGTTTACTGATGGTCACCTGAGAAATTCTGGCACTAGTTTCAGCCTAAAATGTAAAGTCACTTTGGCTAATTTGTCTGGATCTAGATAAGAGGCAGCAATGCCTCTTGACAAATAAACAAATGGATACCGAAGACTGAAAGAGACATACCTGGAGGAAGTGAGATAGATGAGGGATTGATAACATCCTTGGTCTTTTAGAATCTGTGGGGTTTTTGTCATTTTACAGCCCAGCTATCAGGGTAGAAAAGGTCCAACTTCCTGTGCCACACTGCAAACAGTAATTGATAAATGCTTCTTTGGAGAAGCTCACAGCAGATAATGATAGTGTAGATCTTGCTTTAAACCAGTCTTTCTCTTCTCCAGGGATTTTACTTACCATAGACACAGACAAATAGAGGGAAGGAGAGGAGCCAGCATTAGTTTCCAGCTCTCCTCAGTGGGGCCTGTCTTTTAACTGTTGGAACAAGATTGAAGCCAAAGGCAATAAAAACATTGTAAGCACAGCCCATTCAAGGTCCCTGTCCCAAACTGTCACCCTGGCCCACCCAAGAGAGACAATTCACATGGGGAACCTTCCTGTGCAGTGACAGGGATGGCTCTGCCTGTGCTGGTGATTCACTGGAACCCACTGCACTGGAGGGCAGATACTGTCTGACAGAGGAAATGCTGATCCTTACAAGTGGGCCTTTTATTCCAAACCTTTATCTCAAATTTACAGAGGTGCAGAGGGATCCTGGCTCTGTGGGCACCATCCCTTGCCTTTCCCACAGCATTTCCCAGTGCTGTTTCTTCCCACAGCAGTTACACCATTGCTGTGGAGCAGGGAATGTGCTTCAGTGAGACCAATACAGGGCATTTTATGTAGAAGTGTCACCGACAAGTGGGTTGCTCTCAATTGAAATAAGAACCCTGATCAAGAGCGAGTGGCTTCACTTTTGGACAAGCCACAGGTTGGTGAAATCTGCCCTTGTACATGTGACACGTCCTAAACCCAGCAGATGCAGCCCAGGACAGATCCGTGCCCACGGCACAGAAATGTAACGCCTCAGCACAGCTTTTGCAGAGCAGATGTGAAACACATGAGCAAATCTGCTGAAAACACGAGCACAGGACATACCTGCTCCCCAGTGCCCACCCAGGTGTGCTCAGGGGGTACTGCTGAGCTGACTAAGCAGAATCACTCGGTACAATCAACTCACCTCTTCTCATGCTCTTAATTTATACTGTGGGTAATTCTACTTTTACCCTGGTAAACAAGTTTCTGGATATGGTTAAGCTACTCAGAGTGTACATTTAAAATAAAATCTGTTTCACATAAAAGGACAAATGAGAATGACTATTACCCCCATCTTTAATGTGCTAAATTCTTTTGCACAGATTGTTCTTGTTACTACTTCTTTCTGAGAGGGAATCTGAACAGCAGACAGTATTCTTCCTTACGTGGACAATTCCAGCAAGCCAAGAGCGGGAGGCTTTTAAGTGGGAATGCAATGATTTTAAAGCCCCTTTTTTGTAACCCACTCACTCAATAACAGTTGGGTCTTAGGCCACAAAGGGAGGAAGAGCAGCAGAGGGAGGGACATTCTTCTGAAGGCCAGATATGTAAGATGCTGATCATCTATAACTTTAATTACAAGCTGCTAAAATTCAGAGATCCACCATGTAACCTACAGAGCCCCACAGCATCCAGAGAGCTTTAAGGCCATAAAATGCAGCTCATGCCCTAAGGGAGCCACAGCACCAGCTTTGAAACTGGTCATAAGCAGGTGCTGGACCAGGACTCGGTGCTGCTGGGAACTGGTGCCACACTCAAAGTTTTTCCCTGGATTACCTGTGCAGTTGCAGTGGTGCCTTTTCTGCAGCCAACTGCTGCTCACACTCAAACTCTCCACTCCCACAGGCAGTTGCAGAACATTTAGCACAGATGGAATGTGGATCTGCAGATCCAGGTGGAAGAATCCAGTGAATTTCTTGCACTGGGGTTTATCAATACTCCAAATCATAAGGACAGGGTTTTTTGAAAACTGCAATCACATTCTTAATTTAAAACCAGACATCTGAATACTCTGTGCAATAAGTAACTTTCCTATACGATTGACTCCAATACTTATGGTGCAGAGAAAGTCTAATCATGAAAATGTGAATCTTGTTCTGCATTCCATGCTCTGCCATGGACTGTGGGGACAGCCCAGACCACAGGTTCTCTCTGCCCCCATCTCCTACCTGTGAAAGGGGAACAGGAGCAGTTCCCTTTCTCTAGTGAACGTTTTATCACAACAATATTTAACACCACAGGAATGCAGGGGAGAAGGGGCAGTGTAGGTTTGCAGCTGCCATGACTTGGGCCATCAGGAGGTGAAGACAGAGCAGGTCGACCAAGTTTTCTTCTCTCCAAATAGTTTATGGTACAGGAAAACCTCTGTACAGCTCCATACAACACGTCAGGCACAGGGCCAGAGTCAGACACCCAATTACAGCCAGCACCTATTCCTTCTTCTTTTTTCCAGGAGAAAAAAGGGGAGAAAAAAAAAAAAAAAGACACACTTGTGTAGAATACAACCACAATTTCAAAAACAAGAGCACTGGCATCCTCTGGTAAAGCCTAGGCTGAAAACTTATCCCAGGATGCGTGCTCTTCCAAAAATCTGCCAACCCCTGCAGCGTTCAAACTTCTTGTATGACCACAGCCACATGAAGAATGAAATGAAGCCCCACGGAAATCTTTGACATTTCTACTATTATGCAATGTTTGGGTGAAAAAAAAAAAATTGCTGAAATTCTCCTTCCCCTTCCAGAGTGAGTTTAGAAAAACTATTTCTAGCTTTTTTTAATTACACATTTCACCATTAAAAAGAAACCATCCATAAATTAAAAGAACCACTAACTAGGGCTTATGTAACCCATTTAGAGTGGGAAATTGGTAACACTTGGGAGCAAAGTCTGTTCCTGTAATTTCTGGAGTCTACACCATTCATTTGATGTGTGCAAACATCACAAAAATTGTTTATTTAATATTTGCATTAACTATTTTATACAAAAAAAAGTTAATCATGAAAAAGGGCATCTGTGTCCAATGGAATCTAAAATAAACACTTTTATAGATGTTTAATGATCTGAGGGAGAGTTTATCACTGCTTTCATTAAATAGTCTCCCAAGTTAGAGATTTACTTTACCCAATTCCATTTTTAATTTTCTTTTTTTTAAGTGTTTATGGCTCTATCACATTTTTGGTAGAAAACTGTTGTACTGTGTTCGTAATCAACATTATGGACACTTCCCCAGTGGACAGTATTCCATGTTAAACTCCTGCCTCTCCCCCATTTCTGACCCCGTGTTGGGGCAGCCAGCCCTGGCCCTGGGACTGCTCTTGTGTCGAGCCAGTCACTTAATCAAATATTCAAGTGATGAGAACATTCCAAAAATAGCTGTTCCTATTGCATCACTGCTGTTCCAAGAGCTGCAAATATCTATGTTTCAAATGAAAGACTTTCTCCTAACTCACAGCAGTGGGTACCAGCAGGAACGACCCTCTTAAGACTCTTAGAAATCTGAATTTAAGGAAGCAGCTCTACACTGATCAGCACAAAACACTGCTCGTGCCTTGGATATGCATTTCCCACACAAACAAATTAAAGGGCCACAATGCAGCTTGCCCTACATCCTGACAATTCCATCTGCACACATCTGGGACTGATCATGCCACGGCTAACCAGGTGCATCATACATGGATGAAGTAAAGAAGTTGCATAAAATTTATTTTTCCACCTTGTTTTACAACATTCCCTTTTAAAGTTCTTACACATCTGCAACATATAACTCCACAGAACAATAAATAATTGGCATTCATATTTCTCTTGACTCAAGAGTATTTACACGTTGTTTAACTAGATGACAGGTACAAAACATCGGCATCACAGTAAATACCATTTTGACACCAGAATCCATTTCCCCATTAAAAATTAAATTAACTTAACATTGATTTTCTTAAACAATTTTAACAATTAAAAATGTTCTCAAAGGCATATAAGTACACAAGTTGTCGTAGGCAGTAGTAATGGACCATATTGGCAAAGCTGTGAAACCCAGGATCTCATGCAAATCATAGTTTAATACTTATGAAATAAGTATATAATAAGTATAATACTTATAAATAACTAATAATAAATAAAAGAGCCCATCCAGCTCATGCTGAAGTGGGCACTGGACTGGCCCCAGCAATTGTGGAGATGCACCCAATCCCATGGGAACAGTTCCCTGCACAGACCTCAGGACAGTGAGCCCCCATCCCTGGTTCAGGGCACTACTTTGCAAACCAGGGATTTATGATGCATCAGAGGCTGCAGCAGCTTTCTTCAACAGCTAAAGCCAAAAGAGCAGCTTTAGGGATTCACACACCTGGCTCTCTGGGGCTCTCTGACAAACCCAGCTCAACTACAGCAAAACTCCCCCCAGCAACTACAGAGGACGAGGGAGGCTGTCCCGGCGTTTCACTGTGAGAGCTCAGGAGACCACAGAGAAACACCCTTGGTGCTGCTCAATTTGGCCCAGCCACAGCTACAGCCCTCAGCACACAGTTCTCAACCCCAAGGGGACACCAGGGATGTCACTCATCACTCCTCAGCCCACTTCTGATAAGACCCTGCACAGATTTAAGCTGCTGCTGTTGAATAAAGAACGTTGTGTTTCCATTGTGCCTTGAGCTGAGTGAAATGAATGTTTGCACAGATGAACAGGACCAGCTCTATGGAGAAAACAAATGCAGAGAGAAAGGGGGGAAAAAAGGGATGAAGAGGGTTGTGACATGTGGAATTATTGCAGAAAGGCAAGAAGAAAACAGTTTGTGTCAGAAAACCTACACATTAATTTACCACCACAGCAGCTCAGCACAGAGCACTGGCTTCCCTACAGCAGGGAAGCAGGAGCACAAGGTGGGACACACACCCAACCCTACAGCATCACCTGGAGCCATGGGAAGCAGGAGCACAAGGTGGGACACACACCCAACCCTACAGCATCACCTGGAGCCATGGGAAGCAGGAGCACAAGGTGGGACACACACCCAACCCTAGAGCATCACCTGGAGCACAGTCCCAAAGCACAAGAGTTAGATATGAACTGCTACATAAACCAGACAAATAAAGGAATAGTAAGAACACCAAGGCTACAAACCAGATACTATACAGAAGAAGAAAACAATGCTTCACTCTCAGAAAGTACAAATTATGAGCCTACTAGAGGAAAAGATTAAATTTCCAGAAGAGAATCCATTTATTCCAATGTACAGTAAATATGAACATACGTATTAAACTTTGCTTTTAAAAACATTTTTAAATAACTTAAGAGAAATAGATTGCAAACATAAAGTGCTAAACTTGAAAAATAGAAGCATTCCTCTTTCCTGCTGTTTCTTAGATGGCAGTTTTAGTTTTCTGATTGCTTTTAAAAATTCAGTGTGTATCCAGACAGCAATTACTTCCTGGATTTACAACCTTGTGCAAAAACACGAGCTGCAAAGGAACATAATCTGCACCCCAAAACACAGCTATGGATCATTATCAATTCCACCAAATGTGTGTTATTAAAGTTATGATTCAATAAATACAAATGAAATCACAATTCACTCCCTTTCTTGGTGTGAGCTAATAGTTTGCAAATATGGTCCACTCAGTGTAAACTGTATTGACTTCAGGAAACAGTGAATTCTACCATATACACATCTCAAATATTTACACACAGTAGCATGGCACTGTTGTTGCTGCAGGATGTTTGACCACTAACACACGTGAGAAGGGACAGGGCTTGACACCGACGGGTGCTGAGGGTGTTCACCAACAGCCACAGGGACTGGACTGCTCAGTCACACATTAGGCCAAAAGAAATTCTTGGTTCTTGTACTTAAACCTACTTAAATTAGACTGAATGTTAGGAAGAAATTGTTCCCTGTGAGGGTGGGGAGGCCCTGGTACAGGTTGCCCAGAGAAGCTGTGGCTGCCCCATCCCTGGAAGTGTCCAAGGCCAGGTTGGACGGGGCTTGGAGCAACCTGGGCTAGTGGAAGGTGTCCCTGCCCATGGGCAGGGGGTGGCACTGGATGAGCTTTCAGGTCCCTCCCAACCCAAACCATTCTGTGATTTTGTGATTCTGTGAAATGCTGCCTGGGGACTCCAGAACAGCGGCAGGGCCGACATTACCCAGGAGCTGTAGCAAGTCACAATAAAGACAACGTTAAGGATCTTTTTGGCAAAGTGGGATAATTCACAAAAGGCTGTTAAGGCCCAACTCCCCCTAGATGGGCTGTTCAGGCACTGCTTTTCCTCCACGACACAAATTGCTGGGAATGCTGGACTTCTAGGGCTTTTCCCAACATGAACTTGAGAATCAAATAAGTAGAAATGTATATTATTACTACTTTTAAGATAAAGATATTAGAGGAGAAGGGAAAAGGGCAAATTTTCAAAATATTATGAAAAGGTGAATACCAAGAATTAGCTTTTCTTAGCCAGCAGGGTGTTTCTGAAGTTGCTATCTATAAGGACTTCAGTCCAGAGCCTAACTGGAAGGCTGGCACACAAGAAAAATCAGTGTGTTAAAAAGTGTTCTCTGTCCCTATTCCTGAAGGATTTTGAAACTTACTTTTCTAAATCAAGAGGGTTTCCCCCACATGAAACAACAAGCTCATACAGACTTGCACCTTCCTCTCACCCCAAGCCACGTGCATTATGAAACACATCCAATTTTTTCTAAAACTTCTGGAACTTGCTTCCCCTGCCCTTTGATATTTACTCATAGGAGCTAAGAGCAAGGAAGGCAGGTCAGGTTGTGCAAAACATTCCCTGGAGCAACTGCCACACATCAACCACACAAGCCACAGCTATCTTAGATCTGAAAATTTGAGACACACCACTATGGGCCAACACAGATTCTTTTAGAACAACATTCCCATTTTCCACCAATTTTCACATCAGACCTTTTAATGCAGCACTGTGCAGCTTGAGACAGTGAATGCCTGTAGCAATGGCAGCAGAAGCTGGCAGCCCTTTAAAGAGGTTCAACATGGCACAGAGATGACCAGGGAGCTTCTGCACCTCACAGCAACACAGTGGCCCTGACCTGGAAGGGTTTCCTTGTGATTGGAGAAGTGAGACCTCTGGGCTGTGCCTTGAGATTGGAGAAGGGAGCTCAGCTCCGGGCTCTGCCTCTCCTGTGCAACCGACTCCCAACGGCGCCAAGCAGTGCCAGCTCCAGCCATGGTTTTTATGATGTGGGAACAAGACAGCAAGCAACTAATTTAGCCCAGACTAAACAGCCTTTAGATGAGGATGGCTGCCACTAAAAGCTCATCCATGTCTGATGCATAAACACAACCCTAAAAGGTTCTTGTAACTCTCCGTCCTTCTCCTGAGAAGCCCAAGCATGTGTTGCTCTCCTCATGATATTATAATGTGGGCCAAAGTTAATCATAACACCAGAACTCACTGAGTTTAATTTCTGAAAACTAAAAAATACGTGAATTTGCTCTGCACACGAGCCCAATGCCTTTGTATGAACCCACTCCTGTGATTCAAGTTTGGTTTCCAGAGCAAAGCAAGTGCAAGGTTCCAAAAACTGCCTCTCTGCAGGGAGTATGTCATTAACAACACCCACCTAGGAGTGGCTCAGCTTATTTGCAGCTCATCCTCAGAGTTTCACCCTAACAGGAAACAGATTTCGTGTAGCTGTGAGGAGTAGCAGCTCTGTGACCTCTCCTTTCAGTCTCCAAGGATTCAAGACACGTCTGCCACATTGTCTGCAGAACAGTACAAGTCTCTTCTCACGTTGTCGACACATTTCAAGTATGATCAACTGCAAATTTCTGTTCCAAAGAGGATTTGCTTTAGTTTAGATAATTTTCCCCTGCACAAATAAATACAGAGTAAAGCTATTATGTCACCAGCTCCTTTTAACAGGAAGCACAAAAGCTAAACAAAACTGAGTTTCCTCATCTTGGACTATCATTTATCAATGGCTGGATACCTCCAAAATCACTGGGGTGACCACATTTCAACTGAAGGAAAATCTCAACCAGGCTCAGATTCTCATGTGTGTGTAGATCCGACATGCTGGAGCCCCGTTCTGGAAACAGCATGCCATAAATCAGGGATCAGCTGTCAGCAGTACAGTGCATCACCTACATTAAGGGATTTCCAAGATGTAAAAAGAATGTAACTACTTAAATCAAAAAGACAAACAATATAAAACAACGTAACACAATGCAAAGAACAGCACAGAGACTTGAAAAAAGTCACTTCAAAATTGTCAAATGTAAATCCCAAGGTCAGTTAGCAGCTTTCACAGACTTTTAACCATGCAAGAGAAACCCATCGCCATCTCAGTTACATGCATTTGACCCCAGTTAAGTGGAACAAAAGTGACAAGAACTGGATGAACTAACAAGTGCCTCCACTCTCAGAACACTCCCTTTTATTGTCAGGTTTCTGTTCATGGCAGTTGTGGAGTCTTTTTCAATAAAGCAGCAGGTAACAGAGATTACCACACGATCCAGATGCAAATATCGGATGGACTCGTTATAGGAACAACTACAGGGTTTTGTCTCTCAGCCATGGGCAATGTCTGTCTCTGGTGTGCAGGGAGAGCAGCCCTAGGATGTAAGCTTCGAGTAGCTTGGGGGAGAAAACCTTCTCCTCAGGTACTTGAGGACGTAGAGGGGAAGGCAGCTCACCAGAGTGATGACGGTGACCTTCCACAAGAATGACAAAGTCGCAATGAAGTAAACATCTGTGTAAGGAAAAGAGCACAAAGTCAGCCAAGACGGGAAGTTCATGCTGGGAAGAGGTGCAGAAAAGGATCTACCAACACTTATTTCTGCCTGTGGCAGAGGGTTGGAACTAGATAATCTTTAACATCCCTTCCAACCCAGGCCATTCTGATTTTTCTCGAAAATGCCTCACCTCCACACTCAAGTTCAAAGCTCACACGATACCTGGTTCCTCACCCTCCTGCCCTTGTTTTCCACAAAAGATGCAGAAACATGAAGTGCAGAGCGTGCAAAGGGCTGAAAGGGATGTGACTCCTCACAGGTAACTGCCCTCCCATACTCCACCTGAAACAGGCCCATCCATCTCCTGGCAGTGCTAAGGACTCCTTGTCTGGGAGCTGCCCTCTGCTACTTGGCTGGTAGCCCAGCAAACACACCTCTTGACTCAGAATACCTCAGAATCTCTGCAAAAATAGCCAAAGCCTCGTTCAAAATGGAGGTGGTATAACCAAATCCAAGAGAGGCAAATCCAGCCCATTGGGAAGTTATGCTGGCTGCCTTCAGAGTTAGGGAAGAGCTTTACGGAAGAAGTAGTGACATCTTGTGGTTCCTGAAGGAACACTGGAACAAGCTCTGTGGGTCTGATATTTGCAACTAGACAGTTATTGGGAGAATCTGGAATTCCTCACCTTTTTTCCTCTAGCCAGGGAAAAGGATCAGCTCTGTTTCAGACAACTAAAAAATCAACAACAACCAAACCCATAAGAGAAGGGCCCTAATTAACAGGTTAAAGAAGGTACATTTTAGGAGGCAGCTTTTTCACACAGTTTAAAAGACTAAATCTTTCAATCCAACGGCAGAGGCTTCAATCTGTAACCTCAAATTCAGTTCCCCAATGGAAATAAAGATCACTGGTACATAAGACAGCTGATATGTGGTGGAGCTCAAAGGATGGATGAGATTTGCTGGGCAGCAGTCTGCTGACCACCTTTACCTCCCCTAGCATTTGCTATGGAAAGGAACCATACAATGCCTTCCAAGTGCCTTCAAATCACACAGAACTTACTGTAGTCAAATCACACAGAACTTATTGTAGTACCACTATCATTGTACCTATTTGTTGGCTCCATCAACAACCTGTTGCTCAATTCAGCTCTTCACAGTTCTGTTCCTACCCAGACCATGACCTGAGCAGAGAGAAGCCATTAAGCTTACCAATAAACTCGTGTAAGAAGACCAGGGAAGCTATGTAGCAGGAGAGACTGAGCAGCTCAGCCACTATCATGAGCCAGTGCCACGTCTGGATCGTCAGGGCCACCATCAGTAACTCAGTGAGAATCAAGGACGTGAAGGAAATGGCAACAATGTGGACAAACTCGGATTCAAAGAGGAGCAGTGCTCCATACATGATGATGCTACCTGCAAGGGAAGGGAACATTTCAGGATTTGAGTTGAACACCAGGCTAAGCTCTAAACCCCACTGTTAGGTCTTGGAAACGCTGAAACATAATCATATCTTGAGAGTGTTTTTCATGAAACCTGATGAATGTAATGACAACAAATCAGTTACTATTTAGGAGAAAGAACTGATGAGAAGACAGGGAAAAGTTACAGCAGAGGTACCAAAACTTTTATGTCAGTCTCTCATATTCATAGACATATGTAGATAGGAAATTAATACACTCTGCTTTGGCAGCTGGAGATCTCTAACATTGGGAAACTCTATCCTCCCAGAAAAGCAGTTGGTCACTACTCGGAAGCTAAAATATATCAAATTCTTCTAAAACCTACTGCATTGCCTCAGTGCCAAGATGTAAGCTAGGTGCTGAAAAGCTCACTGGATACAAGTGAGCCTCTCTTTGTGCTGCTCGGATGGAGATCTCTCCCCTTTACACTTCCCCCCCAAAAGGAGCACACATGAAAGCTCTGTTAATGAGGCATTGTTCGTGCTCCCATTCTGGAACACTCACAGCCCTGCATGGCCACCTGCACAAATAACTCATGTTAGCAGCATGAGTAATCCACACCAACATCCATCACACGGGGAAGGGAAAACCTGCGAGTGACTAGAGCTCGAGCCACAAAGTTCAAATCCAGCTGTGAACTTTCCAAAATTTAGGACTGCTCAAGTTTTTGGTCAGGCTCATCTCTGCTAGCAACCAGCTCAATTGTTTGGCCCGCTGTTTTCTGGTTATCAAGCACTTCACAAGTGAAGTCACTTTAACCAAACACTGTAACCAGATAGTGGTCTTAGCTCAAGGAGGAATC